AACAGGTTCGAAAAGCACCTCCCAGGGGGGAAAACACCAGGGCTCTGAAGGACGAGCGAGTGCCAGAACCACGCCAAAAAAGTCCCTAACGTGTCGTCTGAAATCCTAGACAAATCTAGATTTTTTGGTACGCTGCTGGCTACTGGCCGCTGGCTGCTACTGGTGCTGGCTGCTAGCTACTGACTATGTGCACCTTTTGCGTGCTCTTGCCTAACGTGTCGTCTGACACCCTAGAAAAACACAATTTTTCGATAGATTCTGTTGCTGGCGGCTGCTAGCAGTAAAACAGGTTCGAAAAAATTTACCTCCCGGGGGGGAAAACACCAGGGCTCTGAAGGACGAGCGAGTGCCAGAACCACGCCAAAAAAATCCCTAACGCGTTGTCTGAAATCCTAGAAAAATCTAGATTTTTTGGTACGCTGCTGGCTACTGGCCGCTGGCTGCTACTGGCGCTGGCGGCTAGCTACTGGCTATGTGCACCTTTTGCGTGCTCTTGCCTAACGTGTCGTCTGACACCCTAGAAAAACACAATTTTTCGATAGATTCTGTGTCGTCTGACACCCTAGAAAAACACAATTTTTCGATAGATTCTGTTGCTGGCGGCTGCTAGCAGTAAAACAGGTTCGAAAAAATCACCTCCCGGGGGGGAAAACACCAGGGCTCTGAAGGACGAGCGAGTGCCAGAACCACGCCAAAAAAGTCCCTAACGCGTCGTCTGAAATCCTAGAAAAATCTAGATTTTTTGGTACGCTGCTGGCTACTGGCCGCTGGCTGCTACTGGCGCTGGCTGCTAGCTACTGGCTATGTGCACCTTTTGCGTGCTCTTGCCTAACGTGTCGTCTGACACCCTAGAAAAACACACTTTTTCGATAGATTCTGTTGCTGGCGGCTGCTAGCAGTAAAACAGGTTCGAAAAAATCACCCCCCGGGGGGGAAAACACCAGGGCTCTGAAGGACGAGCGAGTGCCAGAACCACGCCAAAAAAGTCCCTAACGTGTCGTCTGAAATCCTAGAAAAATCTAGATTTTTTGGTACGCTGCTGGCTACTGGCCGCTGGCTGCTACTGGCGCTGGCTGCTAGCTCTTTTGCCTAACGTGTCGTCTGACACCCTAGAAAAACACAATTTTTCGATAGATTCTGTTGCTGGCGGCTGCCAGCAGTAAAAAACAGGTTCGAAAAAATCACCTCCCGGGGGGAAAACACCAGGGCTCTGAAGGACGAGCGAGTGCCAGAACCACGCCAAAAAAGCCCCTAACGTGTCGTCTGAAATCCTAGAAAAATCTAGATTTTTTGGTACGCTGCTGGCTACTGGCCGCTGGCTGCTACTGGTGTCGTCTGGCACCCTAGAAAAACTCAATTTTTCGATAGATTCTGTTGCTGGCGGCTGCTAGCAGTAAAACAGGTTCGAAAAAATCACCTCCCGGGGGGGAAAACACCAGGGCTCTGAAGGACGAGCTGCCAGAACCACGCCAAAAAAGTCCCCAACGTGTCGTCTGAAATCCTAGAAAAATCTAGATTTTTTGGTACGCTGCTGGCTACTGGCCGCTGGCTGCTACTGGCGCTGGCTGCTAGCTACTGGCTATGTGCACCTTTTGCGTGCTCTTGCCCACGTTCTTGACACCCATTGGTGCCATCCTAGAAAAACACAATTTTTCATGCTGCCTAACGTCCCGTCTGAAATCCTAGAGAATCCTATATCCTATAGAAAATCCTAGATCTAGATCTAGATCCTAGTTCGGGAATCCTAGCTGGGCCAGCTGTTTCGGCCGAATCCCCCAGAATCTCCTAAACAATATTATAGCTGGGCCTGCTGTTTCGAAACGGTTCCGAAACAGCAAAACACCACCTAATTTCGTGCCCAAAACGTAACACATGAACCCAAAAAAAAAGCGGGCGGGAAGGGCAACCCAAGGAGCCCCACGTACTTCGAGGAGACTCCGGGAAGGACCCCCCACCGGTGAAACAAAAACCTCGGAGTCAAGGAATCGAGGTACGTGACCGGTGGGAGGGGGACCCAAGAGAGTCCCCCGGCAAAGGGTCATGGTTATTGTTGTTCGTTGTTGTTTCTTGTTGTTTGTTGTTGTTTGGTGTTGTTTGTTATTGTTGTTTGTTGTTGTTTGGGTTTATGTTTGTCTTTGTGGTTGTTGTTGTTCTTGTTCTTCTTCTTCTTGTTGTTGTTGTTGTTGTTGTTGTTGTTGTTGTTATTGTTGTTGTCGTTGTTGTTATTGTTGTTGTTGTTGTTGTGGTTGTGGTTGTTGTTCTTGTTATTGTTCTTCTTGTTGTTGTCGTTGTTGTTGTTGTCGTCGTTGTTGTTGTTGTCGTTATTGTTGTTGTTATTATTATATTATTATATTATTATTGTTCTTGTTGTTGTTGTTGTTGTTGTTGAAGGACGAGCGAGTGCCAGAACCACGCCAAAAAAATCCCTAACGTGTCGTCTGAAATCCTAGAAAAATCTATCTAGATTTTTTGGTACGCTGCTGGCTACTGGCCGTCTGCTGCTACTGGCTCTGGCTGTTCGCTACTGGCTATGTGCACCTTTTGCGTGCTCTGCCTAACGTGTCGTTGACCCCTAAAAAACACAATTTTTCGATAGATTCTGTTGCTGGCGGCTGCTAGCAGTAAAACAGGTTCGAAAAAATCACCTCCCGGGGGGAAAACACCAGGGCTCTGAAGGACGAGCGAGTGCCAGAACCACGCCAAAAAAGTCCCTAACGTGTCGTCTGAAATCCTAGAAAAATCTAGATTTTTTGGTACGCTGCTGGCTACTGGCCGCTGGCTGCTACTGGCAGCTGGCTGCTAGCTACTGGCTATGTGCACCTTTTGCGTGCTCTTGCCTAACGTGTCGTCTGACACCCTAGAAAAACACAATTTTTCGATAGATTCTGTTGCTGGCGGCTGCTAGCAGTAAAACAGGTTCGAAAAAATCACCTCCCGGGGGGGAAAACACCAGGGCTCTGAAGGACGAGCGTGTGCCAGAACCACGCCAAAAAAGTCCCTAACGTGTCGTCTGAAATCCTAGAAAAATCTAGATTTTTTGGTGCGCTGCTGGCTACTGGCCGCTGGCTGCTACTGGCGCTGGCTGCTATAGCTACTGGCTATGTGCACCTTTTGCGTGCTCTTGCCTAACGTGTCGTCTGACACCCGAGAAAAACACAATTTTTCGATAAATTCTGTTGCTGGCGGCTGCTAGCAGTAAAACAGGTTCGAAAAAATCACCTCCCGGGGGGAAAACACCAGGGCTCTGAAGGACGAGCGAGTGCCAGAACCACGCCAAAAAAGTCCCTAACGTGTCGTCTGAAATCCTAGAAAAATCTAGATTTTTTGGTGTGCTGCTGGCTACTGGCCGCTGGCTGCTACTGGCGTAGTAGTAGTAGTAGTATAGTAGTAGTAGTAGTAGTACTAGCAGTAAAACAGGTTCGAAAAAATCACTCCCGGGGGGAAAACACCAGGGCTCTGAAGGACGAGCGAGTGCCAGAACCACGCCAAAAAAGTCCCTAACGTGTCGTCTGAAATCCTAGAAAAATCTAGATTTTTTGGTGTGCTGCTGGCTACTGGCCGCTGGCTGCTACTGGCGTAGTAGTAGTAGTAGTAGTAGTAGTAGTAGTAGTAGTAGTACTAGCAGTAAAACAGGTTCGAAAAAAACACCTCCCGGGGGGGAAAACACCAGGGCTCTGAAGGACGAGCGAGTGCCAGAACCACGCCAAAAAAGTCCCTAACGTGTCGTCTGAAATCCTAGAAAAATCTAGATTTTTTGGTGTGCTGCTGGCTACTGGCCGCTGGCTGCTACTGGCGTAGTAGTAGTAGTAATAATAGTAGTAGTAGTAGTAATAGTAGTAGTAGTAGTAGTAGTAGTACTAGAAGTTGGGGTCGGCGGATATAGAACAGAAAAAATTGCTACCAATGCTGTGTCAGAAAATCCTTTTCCCTTTCGCGCTCCCCCTTGCGCAGCCGGGGTCGGCGGATATATATTGCTGATGAACAATTTCAAGAAAACAACACATGATGAAATAGTGATTTTCAAGAATCTTCGATTTGAAAGATCGACAGCATGTGACCTTGGCCAAGATGGGGCTATATCGAACAAGATGCATAGGTGACATTGTGGATTTTCGAAAACCTACACATGAAACTGGATGTTGGGAGGATTCACGTGACTCACGTCACCATTTCGCTGTTATCTTAACAATCGAGTGGTGTTTCGATGCTGGCCGCTGGCCATCTCTTCAGATTGGCTTTCCATATCACCCATGGTTTCAACATGGTGATGTAGAAAACCCACAGCGATTTCGTTGATCATCCCGCGATTTACCTGGGAAGATGGTGGCCGAGATGCCCCTCCGATCAGCCGGCCCGAAGTTGCTGTTGATTTTTCAGGGTTGTCCTGAGAAAAACAGCGAAAAACATGGGGGGGATCATGTTGGATTACATGGGTATAGTCTGTATAGTGACACATTCATTGATTTTCAGGCTCCGAAGGGCAACCTGTTGAGTCTTCAAGAGTCCCACACAAGACTGGATGTGGAATGATGTTGCTGCATAGACCTTTGGCGACAGGCGAATACCAAGATAGTAGTACTTGAAGATAACAAGATGTCTAGACTGGTTAGAATCTCCAACAATCAATAATTGCATAGAACTTCTAGTATATAATCCAGTTTATTTTTTAAAGTAACAATAAAACACCAGACGTTTTTACAATATCAATATTGGGTTACCCTCTGGTTATTTAACATAGCCATGGTATAGATGGTCCTAATCGAAATAGATGGTTTATCTAGCTATATAGCATGGTGAATCTTTCCATCGGCAAACTGTTAGTCATAACCAGAGGGTATCCCACTATTATCCCACTATTATCCCACTATTATCCCACTATTATCCCATTATTATCCCACTATTAACCCACTATTATCCCACTATTAACCCACTATTATCCCACTATTAACCACTATTATCCCAAAAGATTCTAGTGGCTACCTCCAAAGATGACGCCGCAGGCGCTGGCGGACAGTCCCACCCCGCTGCTCGGATGTCAGTTATGAACGTTGGGCCTGGGCTGGAAGCCTCGTTGATTCAGTTGGGAACGAGGCGAATTCAAGGGACGAAGTCCATAATTCATGTATATATACATATATATATAAATAACATGAGATAACATGAAATAACATGAAACAACATGAAATAACATGAAATAACATGAAATAGCATGAGATAACATGAAACAACTGGCTTTGCATGATTTCAACACAAGTTGTGGAAACCATTTCAACATTTTCAACATCATGTTCATCATAGGAACTCTTCACCTTGTGGGTGACTACCGGTCAGCCATATCAGGGACTTGACGCCCTTGGAGAAGTACGGCCCGGAGTCTGATGCAGCAAGCAGTGGTGGTGGCGATGGTTGGGAAGGCCCCTTATTGGTGGTTGTTGCCTGTTCATAAGCCCTTAAGAAACCATCATTATTAATCGTTATGGTTATTATTGTTATTATTATTATTATGATGATGATGATTAATCATAATATTATTCCATCATCATCATCATCATAATAATAATAACAATCATCATCATCATCATCATCGTCATCATCATCATCATCATCGTCATCATCATCATCATCATCATAATTAATCCAATATTATTATTATTGGAAGTTCACCTGGGTTTTGAATTCTGATGAACGACCCTGCAAGCAGGTTCAGCTAGTTCACCGGCGTTTCTCAGGGCCATTTTGGAGCCCTGTTTGTTGGTCCAGTTGGTTGGGAAACCCTAAAGGTGGGCAGGCCCCAATGTCCCCAGCGGCCGGCAGAATTTGGACCAATAGCTGCGACGAAGATTTTTTATCTGAAACTGTTGTCCCATCTCAATTTCAAGCCATAAAGTGAAGAGTTTCGCCTGGCGGAATGCCCAGGATCCCTTCTTCTACACCTACATCATTGTGTCCGTGCTCGTCGTTGTGGCACCTCGATCTCGATCTGGGTCACAGAACTTCCCACTGAAATGGAAAGCCTTGATATGGCAGCCCTCCAAGGGCTCCCAAAGCTGCGGTTGTTACATACTTAGTCATACCAACCCAGTACTCAAAGGCATGAGAATTCATGGCAGTACAGGAGTTTACTGCCATGAATGTCATGAAACTAGCTGCTTTGGACAATTCAGTACAATTCCCTACTGTGGATGCACAAAACCCAAAACACCAGTTGGTAGCTATTGATATATGATAAAACACTGTAAATCATGGGAATTTCATGGGATAAACATGGGATAAACATGGGATAAACCATCTACCCTCTGGTAAACTAACATAACTATGGAAAATCACCATTTTTAATGGGAAAACTCACTATAAATGGCCATGTTCAATAGCTATGCAACAAATTACCAGAGGGTATCAACTGGTGCAGGACCAGGATTTGGGGAAGATGAGTTTCTCGAGCATCATATTTGGGGATACCCTGTTTTTGACCAAACATATCTATATAGATACATAGTATGCGTGTGTATATATATAATGTACATAAAAAGATACACACGAACACTAGGTACACCCCGCTATGTCTTACACAGATGTTCATTGAATTCACCTGCTTTCTTTTTTTCTGACAACAACAAATAGCATATTTTCCCTGCACCATGTCCCCATATCTGTGTGTTGGAACTGAGGTGTCTCTCTATTTGATCACCAAACCCTTTTGGGAGCAGCGTTGGTTGATCGAGAAGATTAATGCGCACCTCGGATGAGTTAGGCCCCAAATCCATAGATCATACCCTCTGGTAAACGTACAAAAAGCGAACTGGAAAATCACCGTTTTGAATAGATAAATCAACTATTTCTATGGGCCATGGCTTCAATAGCTATGTTAGTCATTACCAGAGAGTAATGGTTTGTATGAGTATCAGTAGGGAAAGCAATGGGAGGCCCAAATTTTATTGGAACTCGCCATTGTTTTCTATCGCCTGCTCGATTGATGCAGGGAAGGATATCACGATCATGCCAGCTTCAGAAGCCACCAGCATCCACTCTTGGGGCTTTGGCCCTCACTATGGGAGTAATTGTTTTGGGAGTACCTTCAACCTCAGTTTCGCTACGAAATCTTCATGCAAGGTCAACTGAGGAGGTACTTCCAGGTACCCTCTCGCCTTGGCCAAGGCAGAAGCTGAAGTTCATTACCAATGAGAGCGAGGTGGCCGGTTCTTCGCCAGTCAAACCACTGAACCACTGAACTCTGGATCCAGCAGTTTCCAGCCTTTTCCCTCACTTGTTAAGCCATCATTGTATCATTGTATCATCGGATGGCCACAAATTGTGGTTCCCCATTTTGAGACTGGTTATCCAAAAATGATCCCAAGTATAGCCACAATTCTCCTGGCCGACTCTGTATTCCCCTGTTTCTGGGGCAAATATTCCACATTTTCCCAGTAAAGCCGAGAAAATCTGCTAGTTGGTGGGTTCAATTCGAAGCCTAGAAATCGGAGGATGAGCCCAACCGACAAGCCGTTGCCATTTTCAGGTCACCCCGAAGGAGCAGTTCGAACTGGGTCGAATGCCGCGGCTGCAGTGGGGTCGTAGATTCGTAGATATTTCCAATGAGAGACTTCATGGATAAAATTCCTATTTTTTGGTGAGAAGCATTTTTTTTTAAAAAATAGATTGATGCTTCAATGAACAGGGACTGGTGAACATCACAAGATTTGAATCGATTTGATACATTCTGCAGCTCTGTGGGACCTTGACATTTTAAACATCACTTTTTGAACAATTCAGTACAGTAATCGCCACTGTCAAGCATTTTGAGTCTATTTGATACTTTCATGGCTCTCATGGCTGTTTGGTACTTGATACCCTCTGGTAATTTAACATAGCTATTGAAAATGGCCCGTAGAAATAGTTGATTTACAGTACCCATTAAATATTGTGATTTTTCATAGTTATGTTGGTTTACCAGAGGGTAATTCCCCATCTTAGTGCTGGTTAGTGCTGGTGAATCCGAAGTTTTGGGCTGCCTTTGCTGTTGTGAAGCTGCGCTCTGGCCGCCAAGGTACAATGCCCTGAAGGATTTCCCATCGGCGCTCGCGGAGTTTACCTGGCTAAACCAACCCCGCAAAAATCACCCTTTTTATGGGTGGTATGGTTACCATTCCCAGGAAAATGGGTTGTAAAAATGGCATTGTTTTAGCCATAATCATTCAACTCTGGTTTATGGTAGCTTTAGCTATATTGGCATTCATGGGGTTTATAAACCAACAGGCTTAACCGGAACCTGCCAAGATCCGTTTTCTGAAACGTACTTTGGTGATATCCCTAATACCATGCCAGTGCCATTATTTCAACAACTGGCTGGTCAATGCCGCCTTCCCCCAAAGAATAGACAGCTGGGGACTGTGAGAGTGCATTGTTTCACATTCAGACATCTTATCAGGCTTTCCAATCATAGGTGAATGTCAAGTTTGAAAAAGAGTGCACTCTCTGAAAGATATGTTGCATATTTTGAAGGACTGTGGTTGCTTTAGAGAACTACTCTTTGAACCAATTTTTTGGAATGACAACTGCTGCTTGACATAAACAGTAAATTTCGTTACATACAAGATCTGCGTGATTGAGAAAGGAATCATGCCCTTTGTGACAACACTACTGTATATTTTGCTGAAATATAGTCGATCATAGGAAGGACTGTACTCTTCTATGAAATGCTATGTGTACTCTTCTTAGAAATACTATGCTTTCTGACAGACAAGAAACCTATTCTATACACAACTGCTGCCAGACATGAACGGTGCATCTCTTCACGCACAGGAATTCTACATTTGACAGCAGATATTGCACTTTGTGAAAGACCATGGTCTATGATTGCAAGAGCATTGTGTCTGGAAATTGGAAGGAATTAGAAAATATTAGAAACTGAACATTTTTTTTTCAGTAACTCTCTACTGCAAGACTCCAAGACGGGGCATATTTTGAAATGGTGGCATATTTCCTTCAGCTCCGACCGAGGTTTGAAGAGGTTGAAGAAGACTTCGACGAGATTCGAGCGGTCTTGGACCCTGAGGAAGCGACACTTGGGGTAGCCATGCGACGGTGTTGATGTGTTGAGAAGTTCTTGGATTTTGGTCTTCAAAATGACTTTGTACAGCATTAAATACATGACATTACTTTAAAATGAGAAGTTGAATGTATTGGGGAAGAGAATGAAAATAACTATCATCAATCAAATCATTGGTCATTGAAAATAATGCACACCGGTACACCTAAAACCTAACGGATTATCATCATCTTCCCCATGACCCAATGGCAAACCCAAATGGGTGTTGGACCGGAGCTTGTGCTGGTTGAAGGTTGACTCATATCCCGGTATTTGATGGTAGTGTTCCCATGTCTCTGGAAAAAAACTTGATATTTCTGCATGCTTCAAATGGATTTGTTTCCCAGAATCGGAAAGGACCAATTACGGTTGAACCCTTCATGTCACATTCCCGTAAATGAATCCATTGAAAATCATGTGTTGCTTTTAATCTGTCATTTTTCTGATTGCAGTACATAACCGGTTTTATTTTCAAATTTCCAAGAATTGAAGGCTAGACATCCATGGAACTCACGCGAAAATTTCCATGTTTCAATCAAAAAAGTCCATAAACTTTGGCAAAAACCATTCAATTGTCATCAATTCTCCATTTTCTTATGTTTTTTTTCTAGAAAAAAGACCTCCTTAATCGATGATTCCAGGACGCCATGGGTGCTCTGGCGGCCAGAGCGCAGCTTCACAACAGCAAAGGCAGCCCAAAACTTTGGATTCGACCAGCACTAACCAGCACTAAGATGGGGAGTCACCCTCTGGTAAACGTTTACATAGCTGTAGAACATCACTCAATTTTTAGTGGATAAATCAACTATTTCTATGGGCCATGGCTTCAATAGCTATGCTAGTCAGTACCAGAGGGTAACTGACTTAACTATCTTAACTATCTTAACTATCTTAACTGAGTTAGCTGATTTAACTGATTCAACCAGCAAGACATGAATGAACATTGACCTACCATGAGCTTCAGCCAGCAACATCAAGGGGATTTGATCACCAACGATGGGTTGGTGCTTCACCACCATTGCCATGGAATTTCCTGGTTGATCCGTGGTGAAATGGTGAAATCCGGAAATCTGATGGCCGTCATGTCGAAGAGCCAGTTGCCTAGCTGGTCAACCCTGGGTTTAAAGACTACACATACCCTCTGGTAAGCAAACACGACTAGCTGTGAATCTCCTATAGATCAAGGTTTCTTTTAACGGCAAAATCATCTATAATGTGGGATTTTCCATTGCCATGTTTGATTCCTGGAGGGTAGTTGAGGAATTAGGGGGGGTTTACGTACCCATGAAATGTGGGTCCTCAATGTTCACTGAACCAGCGGTCAGCATCCATTCTGGTTCTACATTGCAAATATGTCATGATGATGCACCTGATAGTCTTCATTCAATATATGGGTGTAGTAACACCCATATTTGAACCTAAATCCTCTTCATGGGCCATTTACATTCCCATTCAATACCATTTTCCGAATATTTTTGACAACCCCATAAACATGATACCTCTTTACGGAGGGCTCTTTTAATATGCTATTTTATTTCATTGAACAAACACATTTTGAATCCCAACAAACTCAGAGTTCCGTTCTGTCGAAGAATCAGGTGGGCAACCCAATGATAAACCTACCAAATTTGGCAATGGTGTTAATCCCATAGAAATGGTCTTGGGGATGTTTTTCCATGTCGCAGCCGCGAATCCGCCCTTTTTCCACTAAGTAGGCTTTGCTTTGATGAAGCTGGAGCCGCCCCGCACTGCGCAAGCGCGCCGCGAGTTCGTGCGCGCTGTGACGTTTCCTGGCGGTGGTTGATGGATGGTGATGGGATGGGATGCACCGAGGAGTTCGGGCTAAAATGCTTCCGAAATCAGTGTTTTTTTTTTTCAAAAGACAAACATCAAAAAGGACTGTTTCTTGAAGTTTTCTTCTCATTTTCTTGAGAGAAAATGTTGAGAAAACTTCCCAGCTTCAGCAACCGAGGTATTGGCCTGAATATCCTGAGGTGTGGATCTGTGGACCCAAAAAAGGTACTTGTCTAGCTGAGGCTTGTGGAAAGTCCTGGGGTGGCGAGTGAGGTCTTCACTTCGTTTTCGAAGAGTTTGGGATTCAGTCATTTGGGTATGGCCCATTCCCAGTGAAGAGAGATGGTACGTGATGTTTCCCGCCTCACCCCCAGTTACGACTTGCTTGTGGCTTAGCGAGCAGGCCTTGCTGAATATCGGCCGTGAGCTGATGAAGAGAAAACGATTTGAAGTCGCTGTGACTCGGCAGGTGTTTTTTGTTTTGGGTGGGTTTGTTATGTTTTATTGATTTGTTATGGTTTCAGATGCTTCAATCCATCCATCCACCCATAAAGTCATCCATCCATCCGTCCGTCAGTCCGTCCGTTCGTCCATGAAACCATCCATGCAGATAGATAGGTATAGAATGATATAGAATGATATAGAATGATATAAAATGGTATAGAATGATATAGAATGATATGGAATGATATAGATAGAACGTGATATTGATATACAGACATGTCATACATATTCTCAGTTATAAGATCCGGCCTCCAGGTTCGCACCTTGAACACGGCCTTGAAGTGGCAGCCCGGCAACGAAGACATCGCCGACTTCGCCGAGCAGGTGCAACAAAGAAAATTGCGAGTCGCGAGCGAATTTCGATGAATTCCTGGATAAAATGGGTAACATATGGATAATATGGATTAATATATGGATAACATATGGATAACATCCAATTCTAAACTTCATCATATACCTAGTATCCACGGAATCCACGTATAATGATGTATAATGTATGTTTTCAAGCTTTCCGTTTTCATTTTTCTTTGGGTTACAAAAACGGGACGTGTGGAAAGCATCGTTTCCTGTAGTATTTCTAGTCAAATGTGAAGGTATCTTGTAGATTTTCCCGTATCGATCAAGATGGACATTGAAACTTACATCGAAAATGATGAGATTTTGGAGAGTCAGGACTTAATCGCGTGGCTTAAAATGACTCCAACGGCGCTTTGATTTTTTTCGACGGAAATCGCGATTTTTAGGCCAGAAAAGCCATGGATGGACAGCTGAGTGAGCAAGAAATCAAAGAAATTGCCGCATGAGGCAAGCGGATTGCCGTGTGGATCGGAAGCACAAACAAACAAGTTGAGTCTGTGAGTCTGCCAATAGGGGCAATAGGTGTGATGGTGATCCATCCGGCAGGGCAGATCGCTGTCCAATTTTTCCCGCTGATGTGAGTTCCACAGATTGCAAGAGGAAGAACTGCACCTGTTTCAGTTTGTTGGTTCTCAATTTTTTTTGTCCACTTGGAAGCCTCTTAAGATTCTGCACCACCTAAACCAGCCAACAAAACCTCGAATCCGCTGCGGCCAGAGCAGTTTTAGTGCACCGCGGTCGTTGCGCTGCACCGGGCGTTGCGTACCAGACCACTAGACCTTGGAAGCTGCTAAATCTGAGCGATGCTCGTTTGACTCCACTTTGATGATTCAGTGCTACGGTTCCATTATCACGCTCATTCACAGGTAAATGCAATAGGATATGCACTATCCCCAATGACCCCTCGCATTTTTAGGCGGATTCAATGATCAATCTAGGTGGTTTACATACGAAACGCCGGCTCCAGTCGAAATGATGAAGAAAATGCCCGAGCATTGAAGCGTTGATAGGTTTTTTGGGGGGCATTTTTTCCTGAAGCATTGTGAATTATGAGAAGCATGATAATCATGATAATCCCATAATCTATCAGTTATTCATGATAATCATGATAATCCATAAGAGAGACAGGAGATGAAACACTTTCGAAAACGAAGATTTCTCCATCCTCAGCTTTGGCGTTTCCAGTCGCCGCACTGGTCGGGAAAAGGTGGGAGAAACTTCCAGCAAAGCTGTGGTGTTCGTTGCCTCAGTTCTACTCTGAAGTTGGATGCCACCCCATCTGGGTTTGAATCACCTTTTTCGTGCTGTTTCTTCAATTATATATCCATATTATGTATATACCAATGTCTATGTATACATACATACCAATGTGTATACGTAGATAGATGATGATAGACCCATGTGTATTCGTATGTGTATACTATACAGTACATTAATATATATAATTATATATATATTTATAGATACATAGATTCATAGATACATATATTTGGGTAAATTATAACGACCTCACTGCGACCTCACTGGAATCATGGTTAAGAAGGGAAACCATCCCCAAATGGCCTTAATTCAGGTAAGCATTGGGTCCAAGCCTCCACGGGGCGTGACTTGTGGTGCATGGGTAGCAACCTGATTGGACCGTGACACCTTGCAATTGCAATGTGGTCGATGCCCCCTAAACTGAAAGATCAGTTTTCTGGGTTCGAAAAGTATGGTCACAGTGGTACCAGGTGGAATAATCCAGGGCACAATGTGTTGATTGATGACATGGACTTTGACATGCACAACGGCATTAGATGTCTGAAGGGACAACAGATGGTTGCTGAAGGATCCATAATTGCCATGTATGAGAACATATTTTTTCCAGGTCTTTCTGACATGGTCACAGGTGGAACGGTGAAAATCAGATATCCAAACGGCTCTGACGGTGAGTGTTGGTCTTACCACCTTACCACACTACAGGGTCCCATGCCATTGAAGTCAGACAAGAAGCAAGAGTCCACCATGGTCATTGGAGGCCCCACAGGCTTTGATCCATGGGCCGAAGCTGCGCAAAGCAAAGAGTTTTAGGGAAGGACCTGCCAGGTCCGTCAGAAGCCAGACTGCAAGATCAGGACACCAAAATTGAGGCCCAGAGCCAAAAGATTGCAGCCATGGAAAATGCCATTGACCAGGCCTGCCCTGTTATGAACTTCCTCATGGGTTACCAGTGGAATGTGTCAACTGATGACCCGCTGGTCTAGTTGGGTGAGCTACATCTGCATGTGGAGATTGTCATCTGAATCTATGTGATGTATCTCTATGCTGGCTCTTCCAGATGTTCCTTTCTTCTGGTTTGCTCGTGTCACCTTGAGTCAATGGCTACATCCTTGGGTGTCCATTACCCATCCCTGGAACTTCCTCTTGCCAACTAGTTTCAAGTGTTTTAGGCCTGGCAAATGCTAGCCTGATATGTGTAATTAGTGGTAGATGTCAAACAGCCTCACCTGCCACTGTCAATGCCGAATTGGGGCATTGTATGCAGCATCATGTGGATATTTCTTGTAAATGTGGGGGTGCCAACGTTGGCCCAACCTTGGCACAACAATTTTAGGGTTACATCTCGCATGAGCCATCTGATCCCGTGAAAACCACGGTTGATCCTTCCGCAACAATTGCTGCCCCTTGCGCATTGCTGGGGGGTAGCAGGAGGGCAACGAGCAACAACGGCCTTAATTCAGGTTAGTGAAATATTATAATTTACCCATATATATATAAATATATATGGTATTTCATACCTATTTCATACTTCCGGATACCCAAGGGATCCAAGCGCGTCAAGCTTCCCCAGCCCAGCGCCCTGGTTCCAGCTTTGGCCGCGGCCATGGCGGGATGCTTCCTATTGCACGGTCCCCGCGGCTGAGACGTCGCTGGGCGGCTGGGCTCAAGGTTTCCATGGTTTCCATGGTTTCCATGGTTTCCATGGGGGTACCAATAGCTGGATGGTTTACACTAGAAAATCCAATTAAAATGGGATGATTTAGGGGTACCCCCATTGAAATCCCAAAGTGGGAAGCTTGTGGTAACATGGAAAAATCCAACTGTTTCATGGGAATATCTCCAAGAACCATCGAACTAAATGCATGATTTCCAGCAAACCAACTCAATTTGCTGGAGGTGGTGACCTTGACCCGAAACCGGTTGGTCTGAAATAGAATACCACCAAAGATGGCTTATATTTTTTTCCTTTTAAGGACACCACTTGGGGTACCACATTTTCA